TGATATTCGGTTGTAACAAATCTCGAAAGAATAAGCTTATGATGTATGTTCAGCTACTGTCAGCCCATGTATACACGCTAGGATCGTGCACAAATGGTTGGACCAATGCTCTTATCAACAACCGCTGTTGCTGTGGCCTGTAATTGGTCTCTGATCTGCCCACTTAAATAGCATGTTGACTGTGGCATACAGTGTGGAGCATAGTTCCTCATACACATATATTCATTACACATCGTGTAATCACTGCAGAGCGCCTTCTTGCGACCTTTCAGTTGAATTCCATCAGCTCGTTTGTTTCCGCTTTTATTATAGGTCATGTATGGAACTTTTCAGAAATAATGTTTCTGTCATTTGTATGTAACCTTCTAGCTCCGTGAAGGGATAAATTAGGCCTGCCTCGACGACCTGATACCGAATGGTTGTGTATTTGGAGAATCAAGTCTGTTAACTCTGTCTGGGGTGACAGACGAGAGTGTTAATGTGTGATCACGTTACATCACGACCTTTACAATGACGTAGACTTGTGACAGATATTGTGAATGTATGGTGGTCTGTCCCCTTCTTACTGAATGGATCTGTCTTTTGTCTCTCCGTATGTCAAAGACTGTATCTGTCCAGCTGTCTCACCAAATGTCGCGTTGAATGTGTCCATCCGTATCTCATAGATGTGCAAGTTCAAACTTGGTTGATTAAAAACGTTTGATGTGGAATAATTATCAACTCAAGCATTTCCTTCTTTTATATCTTCCTATTTCATACTAACGATCCGTTAAAATTAAAATAGGCTTTCTAATAACATTTATGTTTGTACAACCAAGGGGCCTTACTAACGATAGTGCCAACACGTGGTGAAGTAGGTACAGGTCAAGATCTACAGGGCACAACACAACACATACATAATTTTGTATTCAGTGTTGACATTATCTGTATTCCAGCTACTTAAAATGGGTTTAAAATGTCACTTTAGCAACATCTAAGCTGTAGGCCAAACACACCATGCATCTCTCCCCCCGATTCTAAGCCGCGGTAAGCATATCTGTGTCCAGTATGTCAACGCCCTTTCTATTGAGATTCGTTTATCGCAGCTACTACATATATTCTTTTCCATCACACTGAATATAAGTGCATCAGTAAACATATTTTCTCTCCACCGTTGAACGTCAATTAACATTTGGCCCAATACATCCGTGTATGTTGCAGTCAGACGCCACAGGCTGTAACAGATGTAGTGCTGTAGGCAAGAATGGTAGCCGTACATCACGCACTGGCACAGTCACTTTGACTCGCACTGACAGTCAGAACATCACGCATCTACACCAGAACATCCAGAAAAGATCATCAGTGCCCCTTGCTTGTCTCTCAATTGGGCATCAGGGACAGAATAGATCATCAGTGCCTCTTGCTTGTCTCTCAATTGGGCATCAGGGACAGAATAGATCATCAGTGCCCCTTGCTTGTCTCTCATTTGGGCATCAGGGACAGAATAGATCATCAGTGCCCCTTGCTTGTCTCCACATTGGGCATCAGGGACAGAATAGATCATCAGTGCCTCTTGCTTGTCTCTCAGTTGGGTATCAGGGACAGAATAGATCATCAGTGCCCCTTGCTTGTCTCTCAATTGAGTATCAGGGACAGAATAGATCATCAGTGCCCCTTGTTTGTCTCTCAGTTGGGTATCAGGGACAGAATAGATCATCAGTGCCCCTTGCTTGTCTCTCAGTTGGGTATCAGGGACAGAATAGATCATCAGTGCCCCTTGTTTGTCTCTCAAATAGGCATCAGGGACAGAATAGATCATCAGTGCCCCTTGTTTGTCTCTCAAATGGGCATCAGGGACAGAATAGATCATCAGTGCCCCTTGCTTGTCTCTCAATTGAGTATCAGGGACAGAATAGATCATCAGTGCCCCTTGTTTGTCTCTCAGTTGGGTATCAGGGACAGAATAGATCATCAGTGCCCCTTGCTTGTCTCTCAGTTGGGTATCAGGGACAGAATAGATCATCAGTGCCCCTTGTTTGTCTCTCAGTTTGGTATCAGGGACAGAATAGATCATCAGTGCCCCTTGTTTGTCTCTCAAATAGGCATCAGGGACAGAATAGATCATCAGTGCCTCTTGCTTGTCTCTCAGTTTGGTATCAGGGACAGAACAGATCATCAGTGCCCCTTGCTTGTCTCTCAATTGAGTATCAGGGACAGAATAGATCATCAGTGCCTCTTGCTTGTCTCTCAAATAGCCATCAGGGACAGAATAGATCATCAGTGCCCCTTGTTTGTCTCTCAAATAGGCATCAGGGACAGAATAGATCATCAGTGCCCCTTGTTTGTCTCTCAAATAGGCATCAGGGACAGAATAGATCATCAGTGCCCCTTGTTTGTCTCTCAGTTGAGTATCAGGGACAGAATAGATCATCAGTGCCTCTTGCTTGTCTCTCAAATACGCATCAGGGACAGAATAGATCATCAGTGCCCCTTGTTTGTCTCTCAGTTTGGTATCAGGGACAGAATAGATCATCGGTGCCTCTTGCTTGTCTCTCAGTTGGGTATCAGGGACAGAATAGATCATCAGTACCCTTTGCTTGTCTCTCAATTGGGCATCAGGGACGGAATCGATCATCAGTGCCCCTTGCTTGTCTCTCAATTGAGTATCAGGGACAGAATAGATCATCAGTGCCCCTTGCTTGTCTCTCAAATAGGCATCAGGGACAGAATAGATCATCAGTGCCCCTTGTTTGTCTCTCAGTTGGGTATCAGGGACAGAATAGATCATCAGTGCCTCTTGCTTGTCTCTCAAATAGGCATCAGGGACAGAATAGATCATCAGTGCCCCTTGTTTGTCTCTCAAATAGGCATCAGGGACAGAATAGATCATCAGTGCCCCTTGTTTGTCTCTCAAATAGGCATCAGGGACAGAATAGATCATCAGTGCCCCTTGTTTGTCTCTCAGTTGAGTATCAGGGACAGAATAGATCATCAGTGCCTCTTGCTTGTCTCTCAAATACGCATCAGGGACAGAATAGATCATCAGTGCCCCTTGTTTGTCTCTCAGTTTGGTATCAGGGACAGAATAGATCATCGGTGCCCCTTGCTCGTCTCTCAAATGGGCATCAGGGACAGAATAGATCATCGGTGCCCCTTTGCTTGTCTCCACATTGGGCATCAGGTACAGAATAAGTCATCAGTGCCCCTTGTTTGTCTCCATCGTGGCCGGAGTAGGTTACCAGTATCAGAATAGGCCCCTGGCTGCATCTACCGAAGCTATGTCTGTATCAGCTATCGTGTTTAAGCGCGATATACAACTGATGTCATTGGTAGGGTTGTGGGTGTTGCTACAGAATGAAAGCTTAGATTACTGACTAAATATAACTAACTTTTTTAACATAAAATTGATTCAAAAATACATTGGACCGATTGTGTAGTACCTGAACGGTGTATTCCCATACTGCCATGTCCTCTGAAGCTAAAGCAAGTATCTTGTCGTCGTCACCATCATCAATGCAAAAGAATTGCTGTCCATCTTTTGTCTGAGTTGAACATCAGCTAGAGACTTGGGTAGGGTTTGTAGAACTTTGCTTCTGTGCCGGTAGAGGGAGGACTTTACACTCGAGAACGATCGTACAGCTGCCGAATGAATGTGACGTCCTTTTGTACACGCTGGCGCAGTCTGCTGAGGACTCGAATCTCATCTTCAGATTCCACTGGGACATTGTGCGGTGTTGTTGATTTCATGAAGTCTCCAGTTGTAGAACAGCGGCCTTTGCATTCAGAACGTACACACTTCCAATGTGTTGTGGTCTGCTGTCTGACGTTGAGGCGATATCGGTACCCTGCAAAGAAAACTTGCTGTCCTCCTGCTTGAGAAGTGATGAATTGATCGCGTTGAACATTTGCCATTGTGTGATGGATACAGTTGGTTCCCCTTCTAATATATTAGGAGTTTTATTAACTGAGAAGATGAGATCGTCTCTACAATTTAGTCCTTACCATGTTTTTCGACATAATCTGACAAGACAGACAAAGCCTGTAACAACATAGATAAAACAAGCCTACCCAACTTGATCAAATAGAATTAAGTTAATCCTGCTTTGGAGGTTACAATATAAGCATGCTAACTGCTTCCCAAAGCAAAGTAAAACAATATCATTGTACTTGTCTTGTAGTCTTTATTGGATGAGAAGACTCAAAACATACTATACACAGAAGTAGATGCACAGATATATACTAATATAATCCCCCTAATTATCCCTTACTCCAAACGAAGCACCCCTTCTTCATTGATACTCGGGCTGTTCCATTTTTCTAGAGGGCAAAAAAAAAATCTTTTCCCACGCTGCCTACACTGTTTTTGTTGGCAGTTTGGGATTTAGGCAGTTTGGAACAGTAGCAGTTTGGGACCTAACCACCTGAACATCTGCCGGTACGGTGTGTACGCCGCCATATACATTTGTTTGCTGAAGCATGTACTGTAATCTACAACATCATTGATTGTACATAATCTGTGTAATGTTTTTTGTTGTATTTATAAATTTGTCCTTATAAATAATTAACATTTATATCGGAACCGATGTAAACGGGGAGACAGATGTTACACGTCGTCCTCTGTATTGCAACACGTGTTCTAATGCAAGCAGAACATTCTTGTAGTACATCGTCTAGCCTCCACCATTGCGCCATGACACTCCGTGACAGATATAGACAGGCCGTAGAAACTCGGGAACCTCTCAATGTGAAGGTGATTAGTCGATCTAGAAATATGACTTTAATGTATTTGTTCATGACTGATCATCATTTACATATTTTCGCTTGTTTACTGAAAGAAAATGGAAAGAGGGATGGGGAGGTAGGTAGGCGACAAACAGAGACCAACGATTTATGTCATGTATTTCAGTTCACTTATGGGAGTATTGGAAATGTTTATCTGAAATCCTATTTCTGACGGGTGTCAATTGAACGCTTGCTGAAACGTTCTAGCGATATTGCATGAGGTTTTGTTGCTGTTCCAGAAACGATTGATGTCGATGGAGAAGAAGAAGGCGATTAGTCTTGCCACACTCGTGATACAGACAACGTGCCTCGTTCTAACAATACGCTACTCCCGCATTGCGCATGTTAGCGGGCCACGGTACCTGACGTCGACGGCCGTCATCCTCTCAGAGGTCATCAAATTACTGATATGTATCAGCATGTTGGTGTTTACAGGGGACTCGTAAGTTTACCTTTTCTCCGTATCCCACAGCACGATTGTTTGATGGAGGAGATTCAGCAGAGTTTGTAAATATCTACAAATCATAACGGCATTTTTAATTCAACAGAATACGAAGTGTTGTAGCAATAATAAATTAATTCGGAAATTCATTCTAATAAATTCAATATCAGTTCAAGTCGTTATCAGCGAATGTGCACTCTCGGTTTTTTTAAAACGTAATATAACTCTTTGCCTGACTTTCTCTCGCTTACAAGATGAGATAACGATATTTATGTTAAATATACCGAAAACGTCCAACCTTGTGTAGTTGCCAAGGGGTGTTTCTCAATATGAAACGCACAAATTCAACCTAGTAATCGGTACACGTACAGTACAGGTACAGGTACAGAACTATATTAGAAAATCAGTAAATAAATTATATTCAAACACAGTTTTCGGTTTACTATCACCGTGTCATCAGCAATAGGTAACTCACCCTAAACCATATTCCAGTTGATTTACTAATGTTCAGAAAGTGTTCCTGTCGAATATATTGAAATAGGCCTCTCCGTTCTCGAATCCATAACAGTCTTGGGTGCTGGCTTGAATTCAGTGTTTACAGAAAGGTATCACAACTAGGCAAGTAATAAATACACAAGTCACGCCGAAGAGAACTCCGAAACGCCCTGTTTAGAAACTGTCACATGCTAAAACCTTATCGAACGATTCTGTTCCCACTTACAAGGGCGGTAGATCTAAAATCCACGCACTACCTCAGCCATGCCTCGACCTTTGCAGTGGATGTCCCAGACAACTGCTGCATACATGCCATACTGTCACATGACTATACATCTGATACATGCACCTGTCCTCCAGATCTCTGTCCACCAGCAGCGTGAGGGAGCAGGTTGTCGAGACCGCCCGTCTGGCCGTGCCGGCGGGGCTGTACACCCTGCAGAACAACCTGCAGTTCGTGGCCGTGTCCAACCTGGACGCCGCAACCTTCCAGGTGACCTACCAGCTGAAGATCCTAACAACAGCCATGTTCTCAGTCATGTTCCTCAAACGGCAGTTGGCCAATCTGAAGTGGGCATCGTTGGTGCTGTTGACTGTAGGCGTAGCTCTGGTGCAGGTTAGTAGTCCCGGACATTTCGTCACTTCTTCTTCCTGTGTTCCAATAGATATATACTACAGTTTTCTGATTATAACACAACGTACTACTAGTTATCATAACTGAATTTCGCAGGTGTCGTTAAGGAAGTCTGATTTCTCCTGTCAACTAATTTCACAATGTTATGATACTTTGAACTATGTGCAATGTCCATACTTTGCCTGTCATTATAATATCTTCATCTTGATCTTGATCTTGAAGTTGTTTCTCCTGAACCACATGCTGGTTTGAGCTGAGACTAACGGAGAGGAGCTATTGGCCATTACGGAATGTATGCTTCTTCAAAGAATGAGATGTTGTTAGTATCAGAAATTGTTAACCGTATTAGAACGAAAGTAGCAAAGAGCTGAAACTATTATTGGTGGTTCCCTGAAACGTTCACTCTCGAGCTTGTTTCATTTATTACCTTTGTTCTATTTCCATGGAAACCTTATGAAAAAAGCTGATTTATGCCAACAGTCCTCCAATTTATGCCAATTTAGTCATTTGGAGAAATCAGAAATACGTTTAAAATGACAGATTTCCCTCGTATGTATATTTATAGTCGATTCTGTGACTGTGACACCTTCTTCTGGCAGCTGCCGGTGACCCGCAGTTGTCATGGTGACGGGTGTGTCAATACCATAGACACGATGGGAAGTGCTTCCTGGGTGACGGGCCTGTCAGCTGTGATTGCTATGTGTCTCAGTAGTGGCTTTGCTGGTGTCTACTTCGAGAAGGTGCTGAAGTCGTCCCAACAGTCGCTCTGGATCCGGAACGTTCAGTTAGGTAATATCATCGGTATCAAACTGAAGTTCAACAACAATTTAATAACTTGATCTGTTTGATTGGCATTTAGAAGTTGGTGACTAATAAGAAAGTAAGAAAGTTTATGGATAACAACTTCTTTATTATATATGATGCGACGTTTCGGTATGGATTCTTATACCGTTGTCAAGCAAGAGTGAAGTACTACAGCACAGAACAGACTTATATACATGAACAGGGATTAAGTAATAACAACATGTAGGACTGAATGAGGGGGATTAACAATAACAACAAGGCACGGTGGCAATAATGTAGTGACAATAGGAAGCCAATGGTGGTGGAGGTAAAAAACAAAATATACATGCTGATGAGATTAATAAACAATGATGGCTGAGGTGCTCTAATCTGTTGTTTTTATGAGATCATTGTATGCAGAAGGGCTGAGATATCCCTGGTCTCTGTTGATTGAGGGCTTGTGTCTCCAGTTTGAACTGCTTCTGCAAGTTTCCTTTTAATGAAGTCCTGGTGGTTTTTGGATAATATCTCCACATTGTCCCAAATTATGTTGTGATTGGGGCAGTTGATGATGTGGTCTGATATTGCTGATTTTCTATCAGATTTAGTGGTAGATGATAAGTGTTCTTTGATTCTAATATTTATGGGCCGGGAGGTTTCGCCTACATAGGCCTCGCCACAGTCACAGTTGATTTTATAGACAACACCTTTGGGTTGATGTTGTCGTTTAGAGGTGTTCCTGCCATTCGCTTTCAGTAGGGTTTTTAGTGGTGTAGAGCTGGTAAAGTAGGTTTCGATGCCTGCTTCTCGCTTGAGGAGACGGCTGATGTGGTGTGGTCGATAAAATTATCAGCACCACACTCCACCCAACAAGAAAACCGGCCTCCAACAAACCTGAACCAGCACCTATTCGTATCTCCTTCCCCTTCATAGGGAAAACCTCTCACCACATCAGCCGTCTCCTCAAGCGAGAAGCAGGCATCGAAACCTACTTTACCAGCTCTACACCACTAAAACCCTTCTGAAAGCGAATGGCAGGAACACCTCTAAACGACAACATCAACCCAAAGGTGTTGTCTATAAAATCAACTGTGACTGTGGCGAGGCCTATGCAGGCGAAACCTCCCGGCCCATAAATATTAGAATCAAAGAACACTTATCATCTACCACTAAATCTGATAGTAAATCAGCAATATCAGACCACATCATCAACTGCCCCAATCACAACATAATTTGGGACAATGTGGAGATATTATCCAAAAACCACCAGGACTTCACCAAAGGAAACTTGCAGAAGCAGTTCAAATCCGGAGACACAAGCCCTCAATCAACAGAGACCAGGGATATCTCAGCCCTTCTGCATACAATGATCTCATAAAAACAACAGATTAGAGCACCTCAGCCATCATTGTTAATTAATCTCATCAGCATGTATATTTTGTTTTTTTACCTCCACCACCATTGGCTTCCTATTGTCACTACATTATTGCCACCGTGCCTTGTTGTTATTGTTAATCCCCCTCATTCAGTCCTACATGTTGTTATTACTTAATCCCTGTTCATGTATATAAGTCTGTTCTGTGCTGTAGTACTTCACTCTTGCTTGACAACGGTATAAGAATCCATACCGAAACGTCGCATCATATATAATAAAGAAGTTGTTATCCATAAACTTTCTTACTTTCTTAATTTAATAACTTGTCTTTGGTTAAAATGATTTCAGACACAGAGTACCTTTAAATGTATTACTTCAGGTAAATGTTCTATCGTGATATGTACGTTTTGCAGCTGTATCCGGGATTATATTTGGTGTCCTGTGTGCCGCATACTCCGACACAGAGGCAATTCTCCAAGACGGGTTCTTCCAAGGCTACAATGTACTCACGTGGCTGATAGTCATACAGCAGGTGCGTGACGACAATGTATGACCATAGTATACCTAGACCACTCTTATATGTCATATATCAACACATTCATAGTGATGGAAGAGGTCACGTCAACTTCATGAAGGCTAGATGGTTCACTGACGACAATGGGATGCACTGTTTAAGTGGTCTATGCTATAGTGTTAGATATTTACAGTCTGTACAGAGTGCACGGGTGGCCCAGTGGGGTGAGGTGCCGTGGAGTGAGGAGGTTCGCGCCTTTACTATTTATGACCCCTGGTCTGTCAGCATCAGTCGCTGCACGTCCCAGGTTGATCTGACACACAATGGTATGACTGAAACACTGGTCAAAGGTGTACCAAACAATTCATATTCACAAGTAAAAACACCATCAAGATGTGTCCACCTCGCAGTTATACTCCTATAACTTTCTATTGACCCTCAAAATCAGAATAAACACTACCGACATCATATATCTACTTGCTTGATGCCGTGTGTTTGGCCATGTGTTACACCACTAGTTTGTTTGGAGCCACGGAACTGACGTTGTTGTTACAGGCGGCGCTGGGGCTAGTGGTGTCGCTGGTCATCAAGTACGCCGACAACATCCTGAAGGGCTTCGCCTCAGCCCTCTCCATCGTCCTCTCCTGTCTCGTCTCCTACCTCATCCTCGGGGACCTCACCATCAACTTGTAAGTATCGTCACCGTCCTCTGCACTCAGGGGAGGGAGGGTTCTAGTTAGCATAGCTCCCCAGTAATATCGTGGGTCCTTGATCACACTATCAAACATTGCATTGATTGGTATAGCTCGCCGTCATTTATGGGAAATATTGCACAAAAATAGCTCTCTTTCACACACACACACACACACGCACGCACGCACGCACGCACACACATACACTGAATCCCCAACATATAATATAAACAATGATGTTGAAGTATATCAAGATCTCTAGGACGTTCTAACAGCCAACTGACGGTCATTTAGATGTGTCGGTAATATGTCAGTTCTACAAGTAATGTTGAACTATAATGTATTCATACACACCATTAAGTTATTCAGTAAATATACCATTAGCAATAAGATAGGTACCCATGGTAATCATCTACACAGTCCTGGTAAGACAAACATTCGTCTCAGTGTTGATACTAACTCTCCGTCTTTCTCATCTCTAGTTTATTCCTCCTCGGGGCGGCAACTGTGATAGCGGCCACCTTCCTCTACAGTTCCGACCCCCGTCAGCAACAGAACGGTCACTCAAAATCGGATATGGTATAGAAATGGATCAGCCAGTCAAGGTGTTGTATCACTGACAGTTACTTCCGAATGAGGAACCGATGGACATCCGTGTTTTATCAACGATGGTGCTAGCCTCGAAGGCCATGTTACATCGACATTCTTTACACTCACGAAGAGGACTGCTACCTATGCTGGAACATCGCCAGCAAGCCTACAGACATTTCTAGTCAAACTCAGTCAAATTGCACTGTCGGGGAAGGTTAACGCCAAATGAAGGATGTTCATTCTCCAAATATCCGCTGCATTCCAAAGTCCAAAGAATTGGCCAAAGAGACACTTGAACTAAACAAATGTACATAGGACTCTGTACATTGTTTATGATTTGGTTATCACCAGTATGACTGATAGTGAAGGTAAGTGTGTTTGGTGGGCACTGTATATCTAGTTTGTGGTGACTGTCATAGGTTGAATGACGCAACAAGATCATGCTGCCTCACATACTATCAAGGTCAACACTTGTAACATCATGAAATTGTAGTGAATTGAACACTATGTAAGACTGTATAAGGCCATGAATCCCAGAAGAGCACCATGGAACACCATGGACCTCGACAAAACACTATGTAACACTGTGGATCCTAGCTGACCACTACAGAACATCATGGACCGAGATGGACCACTATGGGCCCGATGGACCACTAAGGAACACCTTGAAACAGTTGACCAAGACAATTGACAAATGAAGTGGCTTAGCGAAAGGGCTTCACAACAAATACATTATTTTAAGGTGATGGCGCACTTAGTTGGGCCACACCTCATCTGGCAAAGAAGAAAGATACATAACTCATTTAAAACAAATCAGTAATCTGATCCCTAGTATTCCATCTGTTTTGGAGAATTTGACACCTGGGAAGAGAACATATCAAAATATTTATCACTTCTGTCGGTTCACAATTTCTTAATTTCACTGAACCCAAACCATCTGAAGAACCAACAAACAGTTTGTGGTGGCCATGGTTGTATTGTATTGTGGAATTGTAATGTATGTATGCTATATGGTGGGCGCAGGGAGTACAGTGAATGTGAATGCCAGCTTCTTATATATCATTGTTGTGTCTACCAGTGTCTTTCATGGTATTGGTATCTATAAACTGAAACTACAGGAACAAAGGCAAGCATGTGAAGGTGGTGTATCCGCAGTGATGACCTGTAAGTGGCAATGGTCTCCTTCAGCTTCATTGCTATGTGTTCCTGGTGTTAATCCCATGACTATTCTGTTTTAAGTTTTCATATTCCACATATAATAAATAACACATGGGAATATATATATATATTTATTTGAAGGGGTCTTTCCAGTTTTAATAATACAATTTAATCCAAAGATGAGATAAGTTCCTACCTCAATAGTCTAATGTGAGACTGACAGCAACAACAATTCCAGTTACAATTTTATCCTGTTTGATATTATTAGACTGAAAACAATTTGGAATGTAGGAAGTTTTGAAAATAGCTCTCACAGACCCACACACCTTGTAAACGTTCCCGTCCATTTGCATTGTTATGTATCTCATTCAACTATATTTATTGTCATGATGTGTCAAATCTATACTGTCAGTATATTACATTAATTATACTATCCTAAATAAACCTGTTATCATTATAATAAAGAATGTTTGTTACTTAATACATTTATACATGCACATGTACATCTCTCATCAGAAAAATATCCCTTTCTTGGGAGATTTACACAAACACATTCGAAGTTAGACAAATCATAACCTTCGTTTGATAAAGCAACAAATCAAACATTTCAAACTATGCAGAACTGTCAGGATGTCAAACTATGCAGAGCTGTCAGGATGTCAAACTAGAGAGAGCTGTCAGGATGTCAAACTAGAGAGAGCTGTCAGGATGTCAAACTAGAGAGAGCTGTCAGGATGTCAAACTAGAGAGAGCTGTCAGGATGTCAAACTAGAGAGAGCTGTCAGGATGTCAAACTAGAGAGAGCTGTCAGGATGTCAAACTAGAGAGAGCTGTCACATGATAAAACTGGGAGGAGACATCATGTACTCGACATGCTGCAATATCGCTCGACATAAAGGCAGAGTTCACTTTGGGAAGGTTGTGACACGATACATTGGGGATAAACCTCACCAAGTACAGTACACATTTTAGTACTTCTTGGGTTGAGCCCCATCAGGATTATAACCCATACTCTGAGAGTAAGGCATAAATTGCCAGCACACCAGTCCACACATCCATGGTGGCCCCACACAGTCCGATGACAGGTATCCTAGATCAGATCCAGTGTTAAAGGATGCACGGATGGCCACAACAGGTCTAGATTGGTAACTTTGGATATGATCGATAAAATATATATTACATACATAATACACATTCATTATTACACAGATTGAGATTGAGTGCAGGAGTGTGAAAATGTACAGTTATTACCTGACGGACAAAATCAGACATAATATACAACTATGGTGACGAGTTATCAGTGTCGGAAGTTCCGCAAAGACCACAATTCATGACACATTTAGGGATAACAACTTCTTTATTCCTTATAGAAGAATAAAGAAGTTGTTATCCATAAATCATGTCATGTATTCATGTTTGTCCAACTTCTAAATGCCTTTCAAAAACTTCAAAGACCACAATCTCTCTCTCTCTCTGCCTCTCTCCCTGTGCAGATTAATGTGTTACACAGATCCATTATGCATGTTCCAGACTACACAACAAACGTCACCTCAGCTTCAGATACACTTTATTCATAATGGCATATGTTACATGATGGAAGAAATATATACAACCTGCATATCACTCGTTTCAGAAGACTGACAAAAACATACAAAAGTATAAAACAGCTTAAAACATAATGACACCACACAGTTGTTCATGCACACATGATGAGACCAAACAAATGTTAGGTCTTGGTCTAGTCATGACCACAACATTACCCATGACCTCAGACATATTTTAAACAGTGTGAAAAGCTCATGTGACAAAACTGTAACTTAATAACAAATGAATATGTGCTTGTCAAACAGGATATGATCAAAAAGTGCCTTAGAGCTGTTGAGCATTTAATGACCCAAAAGCTCATCTGGAACTGATGCCAACACCCACAAAACTGCAAACAAATAATCCCTTGATCATTTACATACAAAAGGTTGCAGGTGAATTGGTAGTAGTGTTCTTTTTCTGCACCTACTTCATAAGGCGAAATATGGACCCCACTCAGTAATGCTGGTGTCACATACAGAGGATATTGTCACATACTTCCAGGACAACGTAACCTGCCATCAGTAGGAGGCGGAAATATAGACCCCACTCAGTAATGCTGGTGTCACATACAGAGGATATTGTCACATACTTCCAGGACAACGTAACCTGCCATCAGAAGGAGGCGGAAATCAACTAAATGAAATTTTCAGAAGTTCTGATTAGGATGTAAAACTGATCTCTACATAAGACATTGCTAAGTGAGGTCAAGAGGTCTCTCCTTGTAGCTGCCACTGCTGTGACATGGCATCACAGCTGCATACAGGCTGTTATGACTAATCCCTCAGTTACTGAAGCTGTTTTAACACTTGAGATGCTGCTTATTACACAAAACAGTTGGAAGAATGATGGCTGAGAAATATATTCTCATCTTTGTGTCTTTTGATATAAAAAATAATATATAATCTATATACGTTTAAGTTGGCAATATTCTATTCTACTCCCAAATACCCAGTAACAAATCTGGAGTTTGGAAGGTAGACAGAAAAACTAACATCTTCATAAACTTGTATTGTGAACAAGTTAATAGGAATCAGTTTCATAACTCATCTTCCTGAATTGCAAATAGCTTCAGTTGGTGTACATTCTTCTGTCATGAGGTGCAAGTATTATTTAGTGCTGCATTCAATACATCCTCCATTCAAGTGAAATCCAGATTTAAAACAACATGCCGTCTCTTTCCCTGTGGTGCTACCTTACCAACAAATCCTGTGAGCAGTGAGATATATTATTGAAAGTAATGATAGTATTCTGTAAACAACATTCCACTATGAAACACTGTAGTCTGGTCTCATTATGAACAAACTACAAGGTCACCCACCTCCAGAGCCATGCTGGCGAGTTTCACCCACAGGGAACCTGCATCATATAGGGTACCCCCCCACCCCCAGCATACAAGCTGTGATTGAAGCAGTGCTAAACCCAACTTACTCACTCATCACGGATACCAATCGCATTCCAATCCTATATCAACGTTATCAGAACCACATCATGACTTTGTTTGAGTGTCACAATTAACGAGTGTGTCCTCCAGCCATCGGATGTCCTGATGTCCCTGCCATGAGACAAAGGAGCTGGAGCCATCACACCATTAAAAATGGAAATAGACATAAGCTAACGATATCTGATAGCATTAATACATTGCACTGGAAGTGGGTATTCACCTGTCATGCCGGAGTTAACGTTGTTCAAGCCAGTGCCAAAGAAGATATATATTTTCTAGTTTTCATTTATAATACTTGATAGTCAATATACAGATGATATGCCATGTCAAATATAGTCATATAAACATGTCATCTCAACCTCATGATTATGTACAGTCCTAAAAAAGACACATGTTGGTCTTCCAACATAACAAGAGGATGTATGAGTTGAGGCTTGTCCATGGTTTCCTAAACCTGATCTGAATTATCCATGGAGTTTGAAATATTAAAACCAGAATCTCATCACTGTTATGGATTTCAACCAACATATAAGGTCTGTGAAAGAATATCAGCTGAGAGGAGCACAATTGTGTCATACCCTCATCTCACAGCTACACTGCTACTGAGTGATGAGTGGCTTCAATATCTTAAAGATTATTTATTTAGATAACATAAAAACTGTTTTGAAGCATTCTAAGCTGCTAAAAAAAGGTTTGAAATAATATGTTGGAATCACTAACCAACATATACTCATGGAAACTAATAAGGGAACACATGAAAGTACAAGTGTTCCTACATTCTTTTCCAGGTTTCTTCACAAGGTATGTATTGCACTGTGAGTGAAATTCTGGAAATAAATAAAGGAACTCTTGTACTTTTGCGTGTTCCCTTATTGGTTTCCATGAGAATGGGCTGGTTGTAGATAACGGTGCAAGTGAAACATTTCATATTTTATGATTCGTAACAATCAATGCTGAAATACTGACTCCCACATCTTAGGATGCATACTGGCACATGACAATCCTCACACGACCAGCCAGAGTAGCCAGACGGCCCAGCACCACTAGATCAGACAGACAGACATGGATTATACCCCACCACTGACACAGCAATCATAGAAACAAATCTGAAATAATTGTCTTATTGAGCAAGTACAAATTTCACCCCAGACCATTCGACATGACGTGAAGTCACCACTACTGTATTTCCATTCAATATACCGTCATCATACTGGCATACTTTACTGTAAACCCCTAAATATTTCATATAATTCAAGAACATAGAGAGGCTTTTATAATGTATATGGAAACATCTGACAGAATGAACAAAGTATGTCCCATGTTTGTCTGTATTATCCTGTCTTTGTAAGTTACACGGCTGGCTGTGTCATGTGAGTATCATGCTATATGAAACGTGTGGTGATGGTATCTGCAGTAGTTCCTGTCTGTGGAGGAAGGTAGACTGCTGTTCAACGTCGAACTCCCTCCAACTGCTATGACGAGCTGGAACAAATAACAGACATATTGTGGCCATCGGTTGGTGAGTTTCTTCTTGTTGATCTTCCATGCTTTGGGGTTAGCGAGTGGATATGGTTTAATGCTTACAAGATTATGGCAGGAGACACCAGAAAAGCGCTTTACCCATTTTGGTAATAAAAAGTCAAATACCCACCCCACGAACACAATATCCCATCTCATGTCTACTACACACTGAAAATAACAAATAAAATCACTCCATTGTATTGTAGATGAATACACTGTAAACAAAGGGAAAAGGCCGACATCTCGCCACTGTGATGTCACATCCTAAGCTCTGCCGAGGCTGGGCTTGCAATATGCCTATGCTCGGGATTTAGAGCAGTTGTTCGGTGCTATTTAGATAACAACAAAATCACTTATGAATTTTTCTTGTGAGTAAAAAAGTATACTTTGTTTGACCATCTAAACCAGGAAGGATTTTGACGTTTCAAATGCATGATACCCTCCTTCATAATTTCTTTTAATAAGAAAAAGCTTAAAATTGAATCCTACTGCCTCCTCATGCTGAGTTTAAATCATAAATGAAGAATCCCCCATGTGAACTAGAAGCCATGTGTAATACTCACGCAGACATCACCTGGTTTACACTAGCAGTCACTACGCTCAACACTCGATCAATCTCAGCTTTGTCCAGCCTGCAGTTCACAGACACTCGAATACTGAAATAAATACAGTGTAATTAATAACTGTAACATCTGAAAAAGAACATGAAGTTTAAACCAACATATAAGATGATTAAATCTACCGAACACAAATCACATATATGATGTGTGCCAAGATACATCCTATCTAAATACTTATCAGATCAGAAGAGTATGCAATATTCCTTCTTGGTTTGATAATAAACCAATGTAGACACTATAGTACATTCATCCAACCACAGCCACCAACCAGTCTAGCATGCTCCTGTGTTACTTAAAGCCATTTTTATGGGCCCCTGCGGCCAGGTGACAGGCGGATCCAATCTTCTCAGAGATGGACAGTCGCCAGTGAGCATAACTATAGAGACGACCTTGACCTGAGTAAGGATATGGGTGTGCAGGTCGCTGTCCAGGGACAGCAGAAAAGTGGACTTCTGGGCAAGAATTACGACTCCTGCTGTAGTGTTCTAAGGGAAAGGTGCCGCCATATAGCTGGAAATATTGCTGAATCACGCCAGGCTATTTGACCATGTATCAACCATGAAGCATAGAAGCTGTGAGTTCAGGAGTAGTGTTAATGCAGATAGAGCAGGAGGATCCAGGACTGATTAATCAATGAGACACAATTGGCGATGGTGCCGCCTGAAAGATGTGTCTTGTTACATAGGTACTAATCAGGGGTTACCCAGGGTAGATGAATGTATAAAGTTGACACTAGTTACTGGAGACCTCATTGAAGTAGCGCTTAAGCTGGAAACCTTAAGTCAGTAGGTTGTCCACTCAAAGATCTTAAGCCTGAGAGACTGGGATTTTTTAAACAAAGATCTGAAGCTGATGATTTACCTTCATGAATCAGAGGTTCCAGGTCCTGTAGTGTCTGGGAAGTGCTTAGCTCAAACTTATACAAGGTGACCTGCCATCGAAGCAGTTAAAAGAGTAGGAACATGACCAGTTGGACAAGTCTACTGATCCAAAGATTTCTAATATGGCTGAGCCTGCTGGAGGTGCTTAGCTTTAGGCTGTTAAAGTGTCCTAGTGTTCTGAGTGTCTGAACTGTACATCGGCTTGGCAGTAACAGCAGCAAGTAGAGGTGCTGTGGTAGAGAATGAAATCACATGGACCTTGAACTTGGAGCACCTTTAGAATACAGCACCACAACTTCTCGTGTGGACAGATTCTGCCATAGGTCACCTGTCACCAAGGCAAGCAACCAGTTTTGTGAGAATCTATCGACCGTAGGATTATTAGCTAAACGACTAAGCTACGTCTACACTGTTACAGTTTGTGCAAATTTATGTAGATGCTTTCAGCAAATCGACCATTTGTGGAGGAGACATCATATAGAGTCTATTCATGAACAGGCAGCACTTGACGTGCTGTCGGTTAATACGTTTGCACCAGGAGGTAAGGTGCCTGTGGGGAAGCAGCTACTGAAGTGACGAAGTAGGAAGAGGCACCTGGTAAAATGGTGGCTGGAGTAGGTGAGGTAGCACCTGCTGTTTAAAGCACCTATGAGGGAGCACCTAATGGGGCTGGAACAAAATCAGAACCTGAAACTACATAAGGCAGGAAAGTAAGCAGTTGGTATGAAGGTCACAGTCCATCATGGATGGTAGATAACCTTGGAGGTAGTGGCTAAAGGTGACTCCTTGAGGCTCCATACTGGTGCAATGGCACTAGTTGTGCAGTGCTTGGACATTCTGGGTGCCATGTGAGGCATGAGATACAGCTTACAGGGTCGGACTAAAACATTCCCAGCAGTGGTAACATGAGGGCAGTCCCACTACATCAGGTTTTTGAAGGTGACCAAGCTGTTGTAGCAGCGACAACAGCAGGCTTGCTTAGGGAAACAGAGCTCAGGGGTGAATTCTCTCACTCACTCCATGGAAGATCGGCAAACACCGCAGACTTCTTACCCTGTCAATTCACACTCTTGACAGGGGGGTCATCATCAACAACAGACAATGGTGACAATGCTGTTCATTGTTTATAAAATCTACAACAATATCATAAGAAAGAAAAGAAAGCCATGGTCAAAGAGTGATATTCATGGACAGAAAATGGGAGGAAAATAGCCTGTGCCAACATGAGTTGGACATTTACATTAGAGATGGATCACAGCAAGGACACAAATGATAACTACCATCATGACACGGGACAAGATGTACTCAGAAAATGAAAGGAACACAAAATGCGAAAGGTTGCCACATGTTCTCATATTTAGTCACTCTTAATTATTCCACAGAAATTGGTGATTAAACAGGAATAAAGAAGTCTATTCCCAATGATAATTCAAGAAAGAAACCAGTATACATCCTGTCACTTTTTATCACAGGAGCAGACTAGGAACAAAGTGGCTGGAGGGTGTATTCAGGTAAATGTTCTACATTGGTCTCCACTGTTGTACAATCAAACAAGAAGGAAAATTGTTTATTGTTGTGGAAGGATAAGTTAAAACCCAAGTTACCAGGAGTAGTTATGACATCTGTCAGCTGCTATGTCAGATGATAAATTCCCATTTTACAATACAGAAGCTGGTGCTTCACTGTAGAGCACGAGACGAGGTAGCACTCACCTGGGGCATGGAAGAATGTGCTCCTCCTTCTCAAGGTAGCGTGCCAGGGTCAGTGCTACGCCCTGCTTCATCGACTGTAACAAAGATATGCAGATTTTAGGAATGATTTTGTATTTCTGATGGAATAAAAGTTAAGGTTTATCGCTGTAATATATGAATCCCTGAAAGTCCAAGGGAAGTAACTCTTATTCTTGTCTTAATTAAAAAATGTAATGTAAGACTTCTAAGTATGTTATCCTTAAACATATAACAAAGTTTTTATAGGACCACAAAACTGGTCAAAACGTGTGATTTGACTGCTCTAATGACAATGACGCTGCCATGACAACGAAACTCACATGGTCAACAATCATCTGCAGGGTTTTCATGTCCAGATCCCGGTCATCTGATGGCTCGGACAGGCGGACATGCTTGATGGGAGCAATGGGATCACCCAGGACACAGAAGCCCTCAAGCCTGGAAAACATCACATCAAAGTCAGGTTTTATGACACGAAGACACTGTATTTGCTGAAGTTATATCATACCTGTCAGAATATATACAGAGCATGTATAGAGACAGAACATATTCTTGCTTAAATCTTAATCTAGATTAAACGTGTTGTTTACCACAACTAGGTTCAGAATGGAATCTCTGCCTGAACTATCAAACAAAGGGCTAAGAACGTGAACCCACAAAAAACAGCAGGCCTCCCTCTGGTTTCCATCCAATCACATTAACCAGCCATTGTGACCATTCCTGACAAGTATGACGCTCCGGGAATCCCCCACAAGTAACTAACACATAACACTGAAGATCCTTCTACTCACTTGGAGAGGCCCTTGTGCATCAGCTTGGAGTTCTCCTCAAGCTGTATCAGTAAGCCTGAAAACAATAAAAGGTGCATCATAAATGTTGTAGTAAAGGAATAGAGGTCAAAGCCATGCTCAACAGTACAGTGAAATCCAGTATAGTAGAAACTGGACATCTATAGTATAGGGATAAGCTAAGATGACACTTTTGTTGGGCTTGACTAGATCTATCATTATTTGACTGGTTCCCTGAGTCACCTTTAAATGTTAATTAGGTATTTCAACAGAAGGATTATGGTAGTGTTTGTACTATTAGGAATTTGTTGTACAGGCTGTGATCACAGTCACACCTGGCTGAGTGATCCACCGGTGCACACTGATGATGACAAAGCATTATCTGAGTTACTGTTAGACCGCCCAACCCATTAAGTTGCCATGGCATTCATAGGTTTCTGGAGACCAACTCTAGGCAACTGACATGGGATGCAGGGTATTCACATAAGATAGTAGCACTATGACACTCATAAGCCTACGATATACTAGAGTTACGACAGGTTGTAACGTTATGGATGCTTTGTGGATTGGGCCCCTGGATCTGAAGTCTACCCACCAGGGTTGTTGTCCAGGATGCTAATGGCCTGTGTGGCAGCTGAAGCCAGCATAGGTGGCAGGGAGGCCGAGAAACAGTAGCCCAGTCCGGACAGTCGCTGAAAACAAACACATTATCAGCAAAAAGGACACATTCTAAACAAAACCATGAATATCAAATTCACAACAAATACCAGGCTAGTACATGAAGTTGTTTCTTTTGTTTAATTACAAAATGATTCTTTCATACACAACATCTGAGTCAACCAGTCTCTGTTTTTCCCCCTTAATGCAGAGCACCAGGCAGGGACACAACAAGTACCATCTTTATACCTCTTTCATCAGCGTCCCTCCTATACAAGCAGATGCTATGTTCACTACATCATGGAGGGGTGACTTCTATCAGAAAGAAACAACAACAAAGAGTGTGGGACATAACACCCATAGCTTGGATCACCATAGTGACAGTGACAAACTGTTACACATTACGACAAGTCTGTGGCTCTGATGATATGGATGGCCAAAACATCATTGTATGGTCATGTGGACCTAAGCTTTTCATACAATTATTAAGTCTTGTATAAAACCATTATTACTTTGAAGGTACCCTTGTGTAAAAGGATTTCTAGGTATTACTTTACCTGGTGATCAATGACATATTTCCGCCCACAACAGAATCCCCCGATGGAGGCAATGGAGTTCTCTAGAGATGCAGCAATCAGATCAATTTCGTCTATCTGTAAACACAGCATCAGATATAGCCACCAGAATGATAACAGGTTTCTATCAACACCTGTTTTCACAGTCTTACACACAAGTTACTTCAAGGGACTGTTTACATTCTAATAGCAAGCAACTGAAAGAAAAGATCAAGAAACAGGCTGGCAAGTTATGACTCCGATATCTTACATTCACATTGAAGTATTCAGTGACTCCTCGGCCAGTCTTCCCCAGCACACCAAATGAGAGACTCTCCTCCAGGAAAATGCGAACCTTGTACTTCCATTTGAGCTCCAGCTGGTGACAAAATTATTTACATAATGAAGTCTGATTATTTCTTAACATTTCACACCACAGCTAAAAGATGGCAGCATGTAAATAATGGATCCTGGACCATTGACTTAAAGTATGAGCAAAGACCTAGGTTGTTGGGACCTAAACACACAGTGGGAACTAGGTCACCGAGAGACTCCACACTTGGTCCATTTGGTCGCCAGTACTACCAGCAAAGGTTGTGGACCTGTTCTAGGTTGGAGTCCCAACAGATATCATCCTGAAGTATAGTGCCTGCATTAAGTGTAGGCCAGCACGAGAAGTACCAATAGACATGATTACCCATACCCAGCATCTGCTTGTCAGCAGGATACCTTGAACGAAAATACCTGTCAAAATTGAAATTAACTATAAATTGTATATTTATAACGCTTATCCTATCTCACGTTCTGTTCTCTCTCTCTCCTATGTTCAACATTTGAGTGTAAACAAACTGTAACAAAGTTCTCTGCCTCTATGAACAGTTCAACCGAACACAACCTTGCTACCCCATCGGGTCTGGACAACTTGGGTAGCTCCTGGGAAGCGTGCAGGTTGTCTCCTGATTGGTCATGTGACCCTCCTTTGTAGTCATTCTTGTCTTGGAGCAGATAGTCGTAACCTGTGTAGCGAGTTTGGTCGAGCGGGTATCCACCGCGTGAGATAGGATAAGCATCATAAATATACAATTTACAGTTAACATTTTAAAGTGTTAACACTTATCCTATCTCACGTTCTGTACTTATCCCAGGGTTGGACGGTGGGCCACAAATGACCCTGTGTCTGTAGGTGGATGACAACCTTGATCATGGTGATGATGATGCTCAGGGGAGGCTGGTTATGACTGCAAACTGATGATTGACTGCATAGCTCACTTGTGATGGGTTACATCTAGTAAACCCCTTAGCATTACACAGCACAAAACTCCAAGTGTGGAGTCTTGGCGCTCCCAAGTTTACGTGGTTTTCAAGCCGTATCATTTGTCAAAGGGCAATTGACAAAACTCAGGTTTCCCTGCTTCACCCCGATTTCAAGAAAGACCCAGTAAACTAAAGTCTTGCAATATTAGTCTTGCCAGCACCTGCATCGAAACCATACACCGTGATCACAAATAAAGGTGAAGGGCTCGGTTAGCTGAACTGTTTAATGTTCAGTTGCAGACGACAGCGAATGACCCATGCTCCTTTGCTTGAGCTTGATCAAGGATGTGTCCAGCAACCTGAAGCGGAACACATCGAATCCACTGGAATTCGGTATTCCTACACCACTGATGTAATTGTTCGTTAGAGTAGAGGCCAATGAGTATGAGTGTCGATCACCTCTGCATTGTAGCACAAGACTGGCCTCTCAGTCTATGATGAAGTCGCCCAGTGGTGACTGTACTGCACTGCCACTGTTCCAGGTGAGGTAGATCTATGCCTAAGGAAAGTAGAACAAAGATGAAGTGAAATGAATACACCTTTATTTACTTTTTACATGGAAACACAGATGAAGGATGTCATTATCTGCATTGTCGGGATGAGGACAGCTGCTGTGTCAGTACCAAAGGACCAAATGATGGAGTCCTTCTGCGTCAGTCACTGAGAGGTGAGTGGGAGGCAAAAACCATCTCTGATCTCCAAAAACACCCCTCCATAATAGATGTCAACGATCAGTTGCTGTGAAGAGCCATTGTAGATGCCAGGACCTTGAGTCTCATGAGGGTTCAATGCAGCTGACAGGGGAAGCCTGGCAAAGGTGTAGGCTTGCAGGCTGGTCTATCTCATCCAGAAGGCCAACGTGGTATGACAGACTTCCGCTGAAGCAGCTGTTATAGTGGCGGTATAGTGAAGAATCTATCCAGTTGCCCTGGCAGTTTGCTATGAAGTCCCAATGAAGACCCAGAAAAACTCTGCCAGGATTTTCCTCTCAAACTGTATTCGGTTAACGTCCAGGGCATGGGGTTCCAACATATGAGCAGCAGTAACCAGTGATACCAGGAAGAAAGTCTTGAAGGTAATGTGTTCAAAGTTCTTCTCTTCTAAAGGTTCGTAATCGTCTGAGATGAGATGTCGCAGAATGATCGAGAGGTCCCATACCGGAGCTCGGAACTTCTCAGGTTGGTCAGTCAACTTGTAGGAGTGCAGTAGGCACAGTTGAAATCTTATTCCTCATCGCCGTAGCTTTAACTGTGTTGATACCTGCTAAGTAAGTAGCAAGGGTAGATGCCTTCAGTTTAATTGACATATGCAGATGTTGTAGGTATTCAGCAAAATCCTGGCAGATGCTGTAGCAGGAGACAGCATGCTCTTCAATCTGCAGTAGTCTTCGGAACTTCTTCCACTAGTCATCATAAAGAGAGTGTGTAGAAGTACGATGAGCCAAAGTAATTCAACTCCAGTTTGTTTATGTGAAGAGACTGATCGTTTAACGACCAATGCCCTGCCACTTGTTGATCGTGAAGATGGGCTCCCCATCCTCTAAGCGATGCATCTACGAATACGTGTTGAGTGGAGTTGAATGGCATCAAACAAACTCTTTTGCAACTTTAGATTCATCGAGCCACCATAGTAGGTACTGATGGAGCAATGAATTTGGAAGGATCGATGCATCGGGATCATCGAGCCTCAGGAACGGATGTAGAAATCTCAGGATCGGACACAGTTGTAGATGACCCCTGATCGCGAGGGCTTGTTCTGATGTCAGCAGGCCAAGTAGCTCCTGCCACTGTCGAAAAGTTCTCTCTTGAGACAGCACCTTATGGTAGAATGCATTGAATCTTGACCCCATCCTTCCCCTGATGAGTGTTGAATACGGACCCGATGAACTGCAATCGTTGAGTTGGAATCAGTTCTGACGGCTTGGTGTTGATCCACCCTAGCTGGTGAAGTAGCTTGGTGTAGATGTTGTAGGAGGATCTGTCGATCTATTTGGTCTTGTATACAATCTGACTGCTGCATCTGCTTACTAGCTGCTAACATAGCTCACACAATCATATAAAAGTCAATATTGCATTGAGATTGGGTATCTTGGGAATGATCCCAAGATACAGGTAGAGCCGGTCTGGTAGCTTGCGGAGTGACAATATGGGTATGGGTGACTCTATCACTCAATGGCTGCTGTCTATAGTAGAATCTGTAGGGATCCCCGAAGAGATGAGGTTCATCAAAACTCATTGAACGAGTTGAAGTCTGACGTCTGGTCAAGTCCGGAGGAATCGTCTATAGACGAGGGATCACTGAATCTAGCTGGTTCGGCAAATCACGAGGGTTCAGCGACTTATGGATTACCACAGATGGTCTGGTGTTAGGCGAACCACTGGAGGCATCCGAAGGATGAAACAGTCGTCTCAAATTCTCACTTAAGTAAGAGTCGGAGGACGCGTTCTGAAAATCCTCATGCTCAGAGATCGAAGAGGAAGCCCTTTTTAACGGGTCCCTTTCTTCGATCTCTTAGCTGAAGTAAAGCCTAAATCATCTGACTTATGTCTGGAGTCCCTATAGTTAGCAAAAGTTGTCATCATCCAACTTGGCTCATAGGCTGCACCTGGTCTTCCAGTCACAAAGACCAATGCAGTCTGCGTGTGGATCCTAGATGGAGAATGTCTTCTTGCAGTCCACGCAAACTCTTGTTTTCTTGATGTTGCATGCTCTTTCCCCATGATGTAAGGTTTTTAAAGTCAATTTATTTGTGACAGTTTACAGCTCGTCAGCACCCTAGTGCAAAAAGAAAGAGAATGACTACCAATGAGGGTCACATGACCAATCCGTGCACAAGCTGCATGCTTCCCAGGAGCTACCCAAGCTGTCCAGACTCAATGGGGTAGGTGTGTTTGTTGAGCTGTTCAGAATGGCCGAAAACTTTGTTACAGTTTGTTTCCACTTAACTGGCGAACGTAAGAGAGAAAGTACAGAACGTGAGATAGAATAAGTTTAAAAATTACATTTATCCCACTGTGATATTAGAACTTCAACCCTGGGCTGGCTACAATTTAAGACAGTCAACACAGAACTTCAAATGAACAAATCTTAACTATAAATTGGCTTCCGTTTTCTAGGCTGCATCAAAAGTGGCTGACAGAGAATGCACAGGATGCAGTGAGACAAGTGAGTTAGTGAGTAAGGTGGGTTTAAAGCTGCTGTTGGTGGCTCATTGTGTCAGTTACAGCAAGATTCCTTCACTAGTGACAGTAACTAACAGATGTTAACCACAGGAATGAGCCAGGTCACACAGTGTAACCATGGTAACCATCCTAGCCTCATGACTCACCAGTTTAGGTAGAGGGCAGATGTCACCATAGTTGATAGACAGTCCTTCTGTAACTATGAAACGTCTTGTTGCTTTTGCTTTCTTGGGATTCTGCAACGAAACAAGAGTCATCAGTAGATGACATCCAACAAACTGACTGGACAAAGGGTGTAGATTCCTCATTTGTCTCTATGTCTAGTTCAGTGAAGACAAATGTGACATTGTTTAGTATCATAAATAAAATAATCATTAAAAGGCACCAGTTCACCACCAGACAGATCTGTACAGCAAATGTCTACATGGAATATTTAACGGTTTTGGAGTTGTGCTCCAGAAACAGATGCAGGATGGATGGATGGACAGACATATTGGTTGCTACATCCAGGTTCAAACCAGGTGATTACAAGACATTGGGAGCACAGTTGGTTGGAGGGAGAAACCGATAGACATGTTGATCGCTATGTGCCCCTACTGGTAAAACCAGGGGATGACAATACACTATGAGCACAATTGTTCAGCTACAGGAATATCAGGGATCAAATCAACACATCCATACTCAATCAGTTCAGTTCAAAGTGTCCATTTTCACCTTAAGTTAGGTATGAAATGTGGATTGGACATAATTCTTATGTTTGCAATTTACAATGATATTAAAATGTCAATAGAGTCTCTATCAGTTCCTTGTCAAATTCATCAGTTCCCTTTTATGTTCTTTTCAACCTTTTCTCCATATTGAAAAGGATATCAAGTAATTTTTGCCTCACCTTTCAAAAACGACCATTTCAGAAACAATTGATTAAATTGCAATGACAATGGTTGCAGACATGAAACTGCTCTCAGTTTGAAAGAACAAGATGTCACATGTCTCAAATTACCTTTTTATCATTTTTTTCCTGCTCAATAAGAAGTCGCTCCAAGTCATCCGTGTCATTGTGCTTGAAGAACTTGACAATGCTACGAGATGCCACCAGACCTTTCTGGATGGAGAAGCACACTCCTTCATCACTGTACAAACAACAACAATTGCTTTATGGGTAGTACTCAAAACAGTTTTCATCACAAACTACAAACTACTTCATTGTTTATTTGAAGAACTCAGTAGAAGACTACTGCCCAATTTCTCCAAAAAGGTTTTGGGAAAGCCTAGAGTAAAGCAGGCTGTTGACATTTACCACCTAAATGAAAGCCAAGAGCCAAATATGGCCATTTGACTGAGCAACAGTCATAATGGATCAAAACAGGAACCCAGCAGATCTTGCAGCTAAGGGAAGCAACTCTTCTTGTCATATATCTGTCCACTTGGGTCTCCTGTGTCCCTGACTTCACATGATCACAACAGAAACTTTGTAATGTTCTTCAAACTTCAATCCACATCTCAATCTATGGTCCCTTACATTTAGAATCAATGCTGTGGGTAAAGCAGGCTGAGATGGAAGGCTGATGGTGATTTGACACTTACCAGAACACTATGTCCCCCCTCTTGGAATAGGCTGGGATAGCACTGGCAATGGTGGCAAACCCGTAAGAATACAAGATTGCTTCCTCACAATTCATGAACTTGGCAAGCTTATCCTCCAGTTCCAAGTGAACATCTGAGAAGGGAATCAGTAGTAATAATACTTGTGATGTCACAAAGGTTCTAAAGACAATATAAGAGACTAAACATAAATCTTAGGTCTTGGCACTTACACAAGTCAATAATTATTCCAAATAACATGTAATGGTTTCAAAGTAACTGGAAATGTTTTCTGTTTTACTGACTGCACACTAAAGGGAAACCTAAAGGACATGTCAGTAATTAATGGGATGGGTTGGGCTGAGGTGGGGTTATTGGTCTCAGAAATGTATCATACTTTCCCACCCACTTATTTCAAATAGCACCTCATAACAGTTTGCCTATTATATAAGAATAAAAAATAACTATTAATGACAAATCTTTAAAGAACAGTTAGTTTCTGAGCTGCTTACCCATGGTTCCATAAAAGCCTCTTGGTCCACATGAGCCTACTCCATAGACTTTCAGTGCAGCAATGGCCTCCTTCTACAACATGAAGTGGACTACCCCGTCACATCCCATAAAAGTACATTAAAAACATACTTCAAATGTGAAAAGTCTCGCTACTATTCATAATGTTCATCTGTTGGGTTCTAATGGACTCCATCATTACAGTGATAATAAACATTTAGCATATTAGGGACAATATTTTAGCAAACATGGCCATCCTTTCATACTTAGTGTAACCATGACAACCACAACCAACCGGTCCAATTTGCAACAGCTGGGCAACCCACTGCCTGAGTGGGAGTATTCCTCGGTAACTCTAGTCACTATAGCAATAATTCACCATCATGGCAGGGGCAATGATATGAGGTACGCAATGACATGTGGTCAACCAAGTCAGCCAGTCTCACCACCCAATTAGTGGCCTCTTACAACAAACATAGGTTACTACGGACCAACATTCTTGCCTTACACTTTCATGGGAAACATCAAAATAAATTGTGAAGTTTTACTTTTCGGTGAACATGTGTACAACATTTCTGACACTGTTGTTACATTAACTGACTCAGCTTAATTTGATTGCTTTGGTCAGGTTTCAAGTCCTTGGTTTTACCATGCATTTGTCCGTGTATTATATCTTGTATCACATAACTCGTTATTTCTACTGTGAATAACAACTAGGTGCACTATTGAAACCTTAATTAAAATTAGGGTTGTAAAGATTTGGAAGGCCATGATAAGAAATGAATCTTGATGCATTATACAATATGTATCTCGATATACCAGAAACAGCCCACAAAGGCCACAAAGTTAAACATGAGTGTACAATGTAACATATGTTATATTTGGGATTACACTTTCTTAGTAAAGTACACATTCTAGTACTTTTAGGGTTGAGTCCCATCCGGTGTACAATGTATTTCAATTGTGAGAAAAGGTGACTGAAGGATGCTTATTACTAGTCAATCCTAAAAATTACCAAGGAAACCAAAACAATCCCAAACAGCTGATTTGTAGGAGATGAACAGCCTACATTGATTTCTACATGGTTGAGGTTATTTCTTCTTAAATTGAACTTAACAAGCTCAATGGTTGACAAAACAACCTGTGAACCACAAGAGGGAAAAGGTCTGGTTCAAATGGCAATCACATAACCAACTTATACTAATCAGTGTAAATATATTCATATCAAACCTCAATGCTTTTATCATTGATCATTCCAAGGAAGTCTAGAGTGGCCATGTTGATACACCGCTTGCCATTGATGTTCACATACTTGTCTGGACGGCTGAAATCGGAAAAGGTTAAACTACATAGGACAGTGAGTGAGTGAGTGAGTGGGAGGGAGGGAATACAATTATCCATTTCTTTGAATAGCATGTCAGTTACATTAAGGCTTGTCAGCTTACCGAGGCAGGAAAGCCTAAACTGCACGTCAAGGAAGTTTATCACTTTGATGAAACCAAAATGCATATGTTTGGTGTGGACAATCTAAAATACATAATCGCAGCAAACTGGTAATCAAAACCCACAAACACAGGTTACTGGCACTTCTAAGGGAAGCAACTCCACACAGTAAATTGTGGTGCCCAAAAACACTTGGCCATCCCTTCCCCCACCATGACTAAGTGACTAGACTAGAGCTTGAATAACTTGTACACACTTGGGGATGTTTTTGTACTGCAAGTGTAGTTCAACACAAAACCGTTAAATTGTCAGTTTACGATTCTGAAACAATGATCACCACAGGAGACTTCTTTACTGTAACATTGATCCAAATTACAAGTACAGTTGAGACTATGATGTTGACACTATGACGTCACAACTGTAACTTCACCTGATGTAGGGATCTGTAATGGTCCTGAAAAGTTGTGTGGGAAAGAATAAAGAAGCTTAAATCCATAAAAAATATCTTGGACATCTATAACAACTTCTAAATGTCGCTAAAAGACATCAAATTCTTACTGGGAGTTAAAATGGAGTTACTTGAATACACAAATTGTATGATGTCATTCCATACCCAGATATCATGTTATGCTCCATGCTCTGAAGAACTGGATGATCATCTGGTACATGAGGAGCCAAGGGCTCTGGTTGCCAGTCTGCAATAAGGTCTGACTTTTCCTGTTAAAAAATACATTTAGCTATTATTTCTCACACATTTAAACAATACTGATGTGTCTAACAGTACATATTACTAGAAAACCTTATATGTGGCCAATATGTATCAGGAACACAAAATATCTACATATATTTCACCTGGTAAGTTCATGAGTCACAAAAACATACACAGTGAACATAACACTCAAATCTACTGAAAATAGATGCCCTAGTTTGTGTTGCACAAGAGTTGTTTTCATTTTATTACATCTGCAAAAATATATATATTGATGTTCTGTATTGAGAAATAACAGTATCAATTAACAACTATATTCAATTTCATGAATACACAATGCCATTTAGAAAGTGGTCAAATGTAACATATGTTCAACTGATCAACATGTATCTTCCACTGGGCATATAGTTACAAAATAGGAGGCAATGTATAATAATGCTGTCAAGTGGCAATCAACCTAAATTGAGGGTTAACATGGCAAGGAGAATATAGATGACCATGAACTTCTCACTAAAATTGCTACAAAATCTGTATGATCTCTTCAGGTATGGGCTTTGCTGTATTTAATCCTTTCATTTCTTTGGCTTCAATTTTCAAACAGTTAAGACAACACGGGCAAAATGAACACATGCCAACATAAATATGTGCTCATCCCAATATGTGAAGTCTTCAAGAAAGGAATCCAGCTATACATCAAATAGGAACATCTGATTGGTTGGTATCAAAAGACTCCAAAAGTAAGTATGGTTTGAAATCTATTAATAAAATATGAAAGTCTGTCAAATCAAAACACATCGTGGAGTGTTTTACAGATCTGATCACACTACTTTACTCTTTCTTTTCATCATGACATGGGCATAGAAATTCTAATAATAATCAACTGTTCTGACAGGTGTTCAGTACTTCACTTCAGACTTCTCCATAATAATACGTAAAATAACAATAAATAAACGACATGTTAATCAAGAATAATGCACATCTCAAGTTCATCAGGAAGTATAAATCATGTTTAGAATAGATTGCATGACTAATAAACATGGTACTTATGAAGCTGCTTAGAGGTGGGTCTAGGAGCTTGGTCACAACTCCAAAAGTGTACAAACCTTTTCTGTCAAGACAGTTCTTTCTGGAGCATAGCTCTTGGAGAATATAAGCTTGAATATCCATACTATCAACAAAGCTTCAAACACCAAGTGGTAGGCTGGTGCCTGCAACAAAATTATTCCTGTCATGTCTAATTTCTATATTGTATATTTGATATTATACTGTAAAACTTAAACATGATGCCTATACTAAATAAACACCAGCTTTACTTACTTTGTGTCCGACACTCACCTGTAAATATATCGATACATCCAAAACGTTTATAAATGTTTTTCTCTAAATTATGTAATAGTTACAAAATAAAGTTTAATATGTAATGTAACATCAACGAATCATAATTAAAAAATAATATGATACATCTATAAACGAAATCATATGGTTTGTAGCATAAAAACTGATTGAATTCCATTCTGATGACAATATAAGCCAAATATAATTTATCTATAAGTACGGTTCCCATCTCGAAAACAGAGCAGGTGCACCCTTTCGGAGAGTTTCACATATGCGAAAAACCGCCATCAGTTTCACGATGGATGTGATGTAATTACTCGTATTCTAAGATTTTACAAAAGAGTTAAATATGTTCAATAATTATTTCTCACCTGTATAAAACCCTGTATAAGGTCATACATGTCCCATGTAGCTGGCAGAACCGCCATTGTGATGCTTGTCGTGAAGGTAGCGAGAGTTACATAGGGGAGGTAATCCGGTTGACAAGTTGAATCTTGTACACGCCCATCAGGTCTAAGGGACCATTTCAAAAGTTCAAGGTGAAATTTAAAGAAATATTCTTACGTTAAGTGACATGTTGACCGATTTTATTAATAATATTAATTATTATCCATAATTAAATTATAGAAGTGTTTTCCAGAGAAAATTCTGGCCTGGTTGAATTGCTTGTTTTCACAGATTGTTTGGTGTTTTCTTTCCTTGTCTGAATATATTTATACGGCTTTTTATTAAACTACCAGGTTTGTGCATTTATGGGCACAAAACAAATGAAAAAGAATCTCTAGTTGTGTGTTCACATACCCTTGTCTCATTAACATCTGGGGTCTTCAACAACACATTCTTGTTGTAAGAGGCAACTGACAGGATTGTGTTCAGGTTTGCTGAATTGGTTCACAAATGTCATGGTATCCCAGTTGTATAGATTGATGCTCATGCTGTTATTCAGTTATTTACAGACTGACATTATATAACTGAAATATTGCAGAGTGTGGCCTTAAACAACATTGGATGGTGAGGCTTGCATAAGTGGTTGATGTATGTCTTTCTACCTCAGTTGCGCAGATTGATGCTCATGTCAGTCATGTTATTGTCTGGTTCAGTACAATGTGTCTGAGTGGGGTATTCATGCTCAACTGTGACATGGTATCTCAGTGAGCTAGCACTATAAAACCAGCTTAAGTCTGGGCTAGTGCAAGCTGCCACACATATACATACACACGCATGCACGTCGTCATATGAGCGAAATATTCTTAAGTGCGATGTTAAACCCCATTTCACCTGACCTCACCTTGTTCACTTTGTGAGGTAGGTACGTAGGTATCCTGCACCCACATTTTTCAGCATCCCGGATTAGCACATTTTGTTATAATGGTACTTGATTTGCGAGCATGAGTATCTTTTCACGAACAAAAATGTCTTTTTCATCTGACTACAGTTAATCTGTGATGGCTGGTTGGTATTCACAGCCTTCCTGCTGTAACTTCCCTTGACTGGCATGATTACATTAACTGCAGCATGTACAAAGAGCCTGAATGGGGATGTGGCTTAAGTAGTGTTTCACAGCATTTGAATCTGGTTCAGCAAGTGACAAGACAATGTAACATCAATGTGATCATGACATTTCAGTTCTTAGGTTTCAAGACGGAGCGTCAATTTGGAATAGTAACAAAGGGATTCACCCAGGTGTGTTACGGCTCAAACAGGTTCTATAATCCTAATCATGAACACTTTACGTCACAAGCCTGTACGTCACTGCTTTTGTCAAGCAATAATTATGTTTACAGCCCAAACTAAACATCAAGGACACAACCAGATTCAAAATGCATTCACTTTTCCCAGCCATTATATGTGTATAACAATTTAGCTTTTCACTTCAGATTGTATTAATGTTGGAAACTGTACAAGTTTTGTTTGAATTCTTCAGTTTCACTACTGGGTCTGCAGAGTTAAGATTGTGCTGGTCACAGAAAAAACCCACCTTTCTCTAAATAAAGAAGGATTTTGAGAAATTATCCACCTTTATGTATTTTGTGTATACTTACCTGCCTACACTATAAGTCACAGGTTTACCTGCCTACACTCTAAGTCACAGGTTTATCTGGCCCAGTCACAGGTTTACCTGGCCCAGTCCCAGGTTTACCTGCCTACACTCTAAGTCACAGGTTTATCTGGCCCAGTCACAGGTTCACCTGCCTACACTCTAACTCAGGTTTACCTGCCTACACTCTAAGTCACAGGTTTACCAAGCCCAGTCACAGGTTTACCTGCCTACACTCTAGGTAACAGGTTTACCTGGCCCAGTCACAGGTTTACCTGCCTACACTCTAAGTCACAGGTTTATCTGGCCCAGTCACAGGTTTATCTGGCCCAGTCACAGGTTTATCTGGCCCAGTCACAGGTTTACCTGACTACACTCTAAGTCACAGGTTTACCTGGCCCAGTCACAGGTTTACCTGCCTAAGTCACAGGTTTACCTGGCCCAGTCACAGGTTTACCTGCCTACACTCTAAGTCACAGGTTTACCTGCCTACACTCTAAGTCACAGGTTTACCTGGCCCAGTCACAGGTTTACCTGCCTACACTCTAAGTCACAGGTTTACCTGGCCCAGTCACAGGTTTACCTGCCTACACTCTAAGTCACAGGTTTACCTGGCCCAGTCACAGGTTTACCTGCCCACACTCTAAGTCACAGGTTTATCTGGCCCAGTCACAGGTTTATCTGGCCCAGTCACAGGTTTACCTGCCTACACTGTAAGTCACAGGTTTACCTGGCCCAGAATTGATTGTAATTGGCCACCACAATAAAGCGAAGACATTAGATGACATATCCACCTGGTCTGGTGCAATTTGGAGATGGAGTTCGGCTACTTATACCCCGCTTTTGGTCCATTCCCATTGCATACTTTCATTTCAGTGAAGATACAAATAATGCTGGACAGTATTTTTCAATATCCAAAATCATGAAAAGGCTCTACTACACCAGGCACCAATATAACAAGTTTCATCCAGAAATATTTAATGGTTTTGGAGTTCTGCTCTGGAAGCATCACTACCCTTATTTTCAGTAATGTACAACTTGTCATCATGAAAATAAACATAATTAAAAATACATGGAGTCTTTGAAGGACATTTAGAAGTGATACACATAAGGGCAACAATTGATGGATGTCAACTTCTTTATTTTGATGGACACAACGTTTCAGAGTGTTTTCTTACTCTTGCCTTTCAAAAATACATACTTCTCTAATCACCAAAAGTCCCCACTAGACTGATAAATATTGCAAGGTTTATCAAGAAACATTCAACGGGTTTGGTGATCTGCTTCAGCAATGGACAAGCTGATATCCTCCAGTTTTTGAAGTTGTTAAGGTCTTTTTTACCTGGACCCAGTTGTATCAAACTTTAATGAGTGAGTGAATTGGGTTTTACACCACTTTTAGCAATATTCCAGCAATATCACGGCGGGGGACACCAGGAATGGGCTTCACACATTGTACATATGTGGGGAATGGAACCCAGGCCTTCAGTGTGACGACCGAATGCTTTAATCACTAGGCTACCCCACCGTTTTAATGACGTCATGTTGTCATTAGCGCATCATTAACTTTGTGAAGGTTCTGGGGTATCATCAGAGCGTCATCAACTTGCTGGAAAAGTGAATGTTGCGCCAGAATTTTGTTTGCGCAGCACTGGCTCTACCTTACAGCTATAAAATTACACAGAAATGTAGAATATTAAATTCCCTGTACCATACTGTACACTCAAGTGCAAATACTTAGGTGGTTTGTTATCCGAAAAGTAAAAAACAGTAAATTCCTCCGCTTTTTATCGTCCACCGATAAAAGCTCAGTGCAATTATATTTTTAATGTGGCATCTTTATGGACAGTGTGAGTGAGCAGAATACTGTCTGATATCTGAACGACATAAGTATATATGAAATGAGCTTATGTGCTTCTGTATAACGTTACACACTCAATCTAAAAAATGACTCTCAATAAATGTTGAAAATGGAGCTTTCTCTGTAACGTCAAATGACGACAGAGAGGTCATATGCATCTAAAGATGAGGGTATATGCACAGTAAGATATGCACAATATGGCCTTAGAGCTGCATTAAAGAGACAAATTTTGACTAGGTTAACCAATTCCTTTTCTGAGTACAGGAAGCTGGGGACACCACCCCCAGTTCCACACCAAATGTCACCTACTTGAAAATATCTGTGCACACATTCAGTCATTGTGTTAAAAAAGGCAGAACTTAATATTAAAAAATGTCAGTTTTAATTACTGGATGGATGTACATTTACAAAACATAAATATTTTACACAATATCGTCAAATCACACCTGTCACATGCCTCCATCACAATTGAAATTTACTAGAGATTTGCTGCACTGAGGGAGCTGTAAGAGTTAAATAGTGAAATCATGTCTATTGCATCAGTGCTTTGCAAAATGTATTAGTTTTATAATCATACAGAAACCATGGCAGTTTACTCATATTTCACAAAAGAAGGGGGTCATGGGTTAATTCCATACATGGCTGGGGCTGCCTAGATCATACCAACCCAAAACATATTTTAAATCGACAAAAATTGAACTAATTTTTAAACCTGAAAACTAGTAACAATACATATTTCATGTCTATTAATGGTCAGTAGTTTGCCTTCCTCTGTTGACTTCATCAGACCACAGCAGAGTCTGCTACATTCATGGAATATGGTTTTGACAATCTTGACATGATGTGCTTGTGATTGTTTATAATTGATTGAACTTGAAACCCTAATTTCTCATATAGTTATACACTCAAATGACTGTCAGTGTTTGGTAAATCATCTATGAGAGTGCTAACATTAATGTTTGTTCTTTCCAGCAATATCACGGCGGAGAACACCAGAAATGGGCTTCACACACTGTACCCATGTGGAGAATCGAACCCGGGCCTTCAGCGTGACGAGAGAACGCTTAAACCACTTGGCTACCCCACTGCCCCTCTACACATTCAGAAGCCAGGTAACCATTACTTGATGGTAAGATTCATCGTGGGGGTCTCTTGCCACTGTTCGACCATAAACCGAAGCAATGATCATATCCAGGACACTAAAACAATCTCTTCCACCAAAACAGCCCTATCCTTACTCCCATTACCTTGTCATTTGCTTCTACATTAATGCTAACTTATATCCATGGTGAAATATAAACCGTAGAGCATATAAAGTATGAATTACTGAAATGTGCTCGAACCCTACAGGTTACTCAAAACCAAATGTTTTCCCACAGACTTCCATAGTAAAAAATAACCAGGGCGTTTCAAGCCATTACATGTACATATTTGCACAGTATGGCCTTCAAGCTGCAATAAAACACAAATTTCACTCAGGGAGCAACTGATATTTATTTCGTAGAACCTCAGTTCACTTGGAGAGAATTTACTGTGGGAAAGGACACCATATTTTCA